TAATACATGACATAGTAATTTATTTAATTTAAAAGTCTTTCTAAACCTAACCCTAAATTTGTTTAGCACAATTTCAAATTCTTATTCTAAAGAAATAAAAACATTTTTGAATAGTGATTAAAAGTGAGAAAAAGTATTCTAATAGTTGTTACTTTGTATATTTTGTAGCATTGTTTGCTGGTTTGCAAGAAGGTCCCTGTCTGGAGCTAATGCTGTTTGGGGGGGGGCATGGCATGAAAAAGTTTGGGAACCCCTCATCTAGAATCTAATTACAGTCAGACGAAACACATTTTATGTTGAAATTACCTGCCAAACCTCTACAAACTGAGTGGCTGACTGAGCACGTGCCATTGTGCTTATGCATTACTCAAGCGGAAGAAAAAGTAGTTCCCTCCGACCACATATGATTTAGACAAGATTGGAATWGTTGTTTTCCACTATTTTCTTGTTAATGATATACATTATGTGAAATAACTAAAGTATCAAAGTATCGATATTTTGATTTTAGTATCGATTCCAGAACATAAAGTTCTAGTATCAGTAGTGTTTATTTCAGTATTGATCTGCACATCACAAGCCTCTGCTCAACTGAAAAATGAACGAATCAGTTGACAAAGTGATTCGAATCAGTTCGTTCACTGAAATGATTCATTAAAACGAACGAATCATTCGTGAACGACACAACGCTCTCAGCCTTGACTCAATCAACTCCGACGGTGAGTAGTTAGCCATTGCTACTTTGGAAACATTTATTGACTTAATTTATACATTTCATCGGCACAAACACATTCCCTTCGCCACCGCTGTCTAGGAAATAGTTTTAAGCCAATAAGTACATTCATGCCATGTGCTCCTTTTCTACAAACAGTTAAAGTCTCTGTTTTAGCTAAAGCAGCTAGCATGCTAACTTTTACACTAATTAAATTCGGCTAACTTAGCGTCCATTACAGAGGAAAGATGAAAGCCTCGTCGACACTCACAGAATGAGTGGTTAATACACACACACAGGTGATAACACAATATTTACCTGTTTGTAATTAGATGGTAGAGCCGTCATCAACCAAGCTTCCGCCGAGCAGCAGCGACGACGCGCTGGAGCTGAACACGGATCACTTGGAGAGGATGATAGAAACTGTGGAGAACACAGCAGGTGTGTGTAATGTTTGATTAAATTCAGGYGGCTGTTATTAACTGGTATTACCTAGTAAGGTCTTATTCGCCTTTCCCCTGCAGTTGAGCTGACCTGCATGGCTTATGACGTCGTGACCCTGCGGACCAGTCCAGAGGTGGGCGCCGCCATGCGGCAGCTGGARGATGCGTTTGTCCGCTGCAGAGCGGCTGTGTGTGGAGGTGCAGACCTGCAGGCAGAGCTGGGCTCCCGCCCTGCTCAGCCTGCTGCCACAACACTCGATTAAATGTGGCATTCCCACAGCTTTCTGTAGTGTTGGTTCAAAACTTTGATTCCTCCCTGGGTTTCATTTTTGGCTTAAGTTGTGTCTTTCAAAACAGGGTGTTTTCATGTTTATTTATGGCAATCTGTAGATGTTTACATGGCTTTGTCACTGTTCAAACTGCTCTAATCCAAGTTAAATAAAGAAGTTAATGCTTTTGAAAGGAGTTCTGTAATATTTTATAGACATAGACCTTATTGTTTATTTCTTAAATATAAGTTAGCCTTTTTTTCAGAGTACAAGAGCATAATTAACTGAGTTTATCTTTCTGACGGTTTTATTTTTAGTGTTATTTTATGACTCTTGGCACAGACAGCATGTTCTATGTAATTATTTTTCAGATGAAAAACACAGAGGAGACCGCAGGACTGCCATCAACTCGTGCGTCGATCTGGAAAACCTGAAAGTGTCGGACTCCGTGTCTAGCAGCGTGACTCATTTGGCTTGTGCGTTTGATTCCTTTATCTCTGACGTTTACGGGTGTAAACAGATTTGAAATGCGATAGCTGAAAGTGGTCATAGACACACAGCTTAGCCTGGCATGTAAGCGGTTTAAATTTACACGACGCCACACCGTGCCATGTCAGAATATGATTTACAGATAGGTTCAGAGGAGTCGCTGAAGGATTTGGCACAGATAGGTTGTCTATCAGTGGTTCTGATGCGAGGCAAGATGTTGCAACTGCTATTCTGCCACAGGGGACAGGCGCTACAGAGGGAATCAGTAATCTGCCATCTTGTCACCGTTATTATTTGTCTGATCACTTGGTTGTCTCTAATTTCAAAAAACCAACGTTTCAGCTTTGATGTTTTAGTGAAACCATTATGGTAGGATTTAATATTCTCTGAGCTCATTGTTTTCTAACGTTACAGTGTTTTAGTTTGTGAGCTGTGCAAAACTATACCATTTTTCAGGCTTTACTCTTCAAGTTTCTGATCATTTTCTTTCAACTATAACTTTAACTTCAGTTTGTGTTTCAGCACCTCAAATGTTTGGAGGTGTTTCGCTTTATTAATTCACTGTGCAAAACATGGCTTTGAAATTTAACTTCCAGTTCACCGATACATGATGTGCATACAGAAACATTTATTATCACCTGCAACCAAAGGGTAATAATCACTGGGTTTTAATAAAACGTCCAGAAAGAAATCATTAAATGTAGTGTACATCTACAACTGAATATTTTTGGGGGTATCAGCCTGATTTAAGTAGATGTAATAATTTGATGTAACCAAACACAAAAATGACTTGAAATCTGGTCTTTTTCACAGCTATGCAGTAGGGGTGTAAGAAAATATCGATACACTGAAATATCGCGATATTTCATTTCCCGATACTGTATCGATATTCTAAAGCCCTGTATCAATTTTTTATTAAGGTTTAAAATGTCAACTTTCCTGCCAACCATTCATTTTTATGTTGTAGTTCAGCCTTTGACCGCTAGTTGGCAGCAGTGAGCAGCCATTTGGCTCCTCTACCTCTTGAGGTAGAGGCTATTGTTTAGTGTTGGGTGACCATTTTGTAAATTGTAAACTAACACAGCTAAATGTATCAAAAGCATGTCTATGTAATATTAGAATTTTCTGAGACAATGAATTTTGGTTTTTCATTTTTTTTCCCTGTAAGAGGTTTTTATTTAATAGATTTTTGGACAAAAAAATTGCAATGTATCGCGATATATCGCCTTGCTTACAGTATCGCAATATATCGTATCGTGACCCCTCTGTTATGATATGTATCGTATCGCCAAATTCTTGCCAATACACAGCCCTACTATGCAGCTAAAATTTGGTGTGGTAATTATAACTCATTCCCAACTCTCATAGCTCTAACTGAACACACAAGCTCTGTAATAAAACGTTGCTACTAATYATTAGATTCAACTGTTTAACCATGGCTTTTCATTGAAACTTATGGAAATCTTATGGGATTCAACCTAATCCAAGATGGCTGCCACAGCTGTCGACCTTAGCCTACACAAAAATGAATGTAACTCTGAGGTAGTTGCTGACTGACAACCACATTATGCTCCAAGCACCAACACATGCAAGATCTCAAAAGAGACTGCACATATGCGACTGTAACTTTGTCGTATTTTGACGTAAGTTGATCTTAGCCTAAGTCTTACAGAATCGCACCAAAGTTTCGCCAACAAGAAGCTGAATTTGACGATGTCGAYGTTCATATAAAATCCAGTCAATTTGAGTCGTGCTTTTATTTAAAAAGTGTTTGAAACAAAGGAGAYACGAAAGGAACGTGTACATTGTGACTTTTGTTCACTTAGGCTGTTTGATTTTTTTAAATTTATTTTATTTTTTGTGCACAACAACTGCTGAAGATCTGAGGCGATTGCGTAACAAAGGGTATTCTCTTACTGCTGGCAGTGCAAACCCATTTGAAGCGATGCGCTCTGGCGTTACTCGAAAAACTCCCTGAAGCAGAAGCAGCAGCCACGAACTCAGACTGACACTGGAGGAGGTAACGCCACATGTCTGCACTTCATAAAAAATATGCTAAAAAAACATCAGCCACGAGAGGTTTATTCTTTTTGTCTCACTCTGTTTACTAAAAATAGGGAAGGCAGCAACGAGAGAAATTACATAACAACGACCTTTGAGATTGTGGAAATTGTGACATTTGTTCTTAAAAAAAACACGGATTTGTGTAGAAATGAGCACATAGGAGCAGATGTTAACACACGTTAAGCTGGTACTGGTGCTGGTGCTGGTCAGAGCCCCGCAGGGTGCAGCAGGCAACACTGGGGCTTCTCTGCAGAGGTCTGGTCTGTGGCATCGATGAGCACCAGCGGGGTGTGCGTGTGATGGAGGATCACCTCCGTCACTCCGGGGAAACTCTAAAAGCACAACAGCACACACTAGAAATGACGCAGCGCAGCATCAAACAGGCCCCGAGGTGTGCCGCAAGATGGCAACCTTTCAGTTTCATCTGAATATTTTTTAAAATCTTTTTTTAAGATTACTGTTAATTTTATTTTTACTTCACCTGAGTGCCGTTAAAGCCGTTGCCGAGCGAGTAGGAGTTGCCTCTGCGACGGATCCTGATGTTGTAAACCTTGCCTTGATTCAGAAGCATCAGAGTGTGGGGGTGCTCCGCTGAGCCCTGCGAGCTGTCCCTCACTATGAACGCTCCATCCTTAACAGAGAAAAGCACGCCCATCACAACGATCATAAATGAATCGCTGTAAATTTAAACGCTCATTTGGGACAGGAGTAACACATTCCTTTTTTGGATGTTTTAATGTGTTTACTTTGACTTGTACCTTTATATGCGGCCTCCCTGTTCAAATATAAACATTGAACATCACGTATGTCTGCTTGCATTTTTAATCCAGAAAGAGAAGATGCAACRTCTGACCTTGTTCACCCTCCTGAGAGCAGCTTCGGCTTCATGTCGAGTCACATTTCCTCTGTACCAGCTGGGGTCCAAACACTGGGCCCCACACAAATAGAAAAGCCACTTAGAAAACAAACATTTGTTTCTCTCTTTGGTAAATAGAGCAGCTGTTTCCTAAACAACTAGCTGASGAATGTAGCGCAGATAATTACACTTATCAGATGTGTTCATAAAAAGCAGCTTCTGGAGCAAACTGCAGGACCAACTCGATGTGTTTCTTTGAACAACATCTCCATCTGCTGCTTTGACTCTGAATGTGCGTATGGTGGACAGAGAATACCATGAATCCCACCTTAACCTCTTGAGCCCCGAGRGGTTTTCTTGATATTTTTGCTCAAAACACCAGTGTTGTTTAAAGTACCACAAAGTGATACTTAAGTAGTACAAGTATCTTAACAAAAAAATACTTTGGTAAAAGTTAAAGTCTCCTTTAGGAATATTACTTGAGTAAAAGTCTTAAAGTATCGGATATTTTTTGTACTTAAGTACTAAAAGTAAAAGTATTGATTTAAAATGAGCAGTTAGATTTTCTGTAATGACATTTATTAGGAGGTGACCTCCACAAAAAATGCAGAAATGACTGTTGTATTAAAATAATAAATTGATGTTAAATTTAGGATGCACTAGTCTATCTGTATAAATCAAGGCTGTACAAACCTTTTCTAAAATGAAAATCTATCYGAGGGCTGCAGCCAAATGYAATAAYATAATTCATGAAATACAAATACTTCTTAAGTACAGTCCTTTTATTYTAATGWTTATGTCCTGCTGGAGTGTGACATGATTTGTTTGTGTACAAACTAATACGGTATCAGAATTTTATATATTTATACTTGTCATTCAACCACAGTTAAATGGCACAATTTGATGTGGATAGTGTTATTTATTTTTTACAATAACAAGCTGGAATAAAAACAAGCAGAAATGAAATAAAAGTAACGACTTTTACTTCTTGCCTTTTTTTAAAAAAATATGAAAAATGTAAGTAGTAGAACTAAAAAGTAGGCTTGAAAATAATTACTCAAGTAAAATACAGATACCCAAGTATTTGTACTTAGTTACTTTACAACTCTGCAAAACACCATGCTGAAATGTAATTGAGCGTATCTCAGCATTTACAAAGTCTACCTAAATAATCTTGGTATTAGGGTTGGGCAATATTGGCAAAAAAAATTAATCATGATTAATTGTGGTATTTAGCCGATAACGATTAATTTAGACGATTAATCTCCTGGAGTCCCGGGACACCCTCATTTCATAGTCACATGCCCAGTTTTGTGGGAAAGGTTTGCTATTTGTAAAAAATTGTTCCAAACTGTGTGAAAATTATGGACTTAAGGCTATACATCATATTTTAAATTGTGTTGATAGATAAATCAATTACAGAACTTTATTTTTAATGTTGGTCATATTTGAAGCAGAGAGGAGCACTGAGCAGACTGACCGGAGTAATCTCCAGTCAGTCTGGCTGGTGGCATTAATCATATTAATCGTCAAGTGCCAAAAATTAATCGATTAATGTTTTTCTGACGATTAATTGCACACGATACGATCATGCCCAACCCTACTTGGTATCAAAATAAAGCTAAAACTTGGGAGCTTTTATTAGAAATGTAAGTATTAAAACAGCTGCTGTTGTTATAGAGATATTGAGGATTTGAGGAACTTTCTTTTTTTTTTTTTACATTTTTTTCCCCTCCTGCCTGTATAATTTTTGCATTAGACAATATATAACCCATTTAAAATCATAATGAAGTAGACTAAAAACTCTTGGAAACCACAAATCAACTTGTGGACATTACCTGTGCAAAGATTCATGCTGCTAAATTGAACTGAAGCAAAGTTACAGAGGATTTAGTAAAGAAAAAAAATTGCGTTTTGCAGATCATGATGGTGCCATTGATAACGTTACTAAATGTTAAGTTTTTAGTTGTAAAAGTTATTTATTTTTTTCTTACCTGCCTTAAAACACTTATTGAATGTTTGTTCTTTTGAAAAAAAAAAAGTCCAAACATTTATTTGTCACCATGTATAGTATATGAAATAATGAGAAATTATATTTGATTTCAGTTGGACAATATTCACTCAAAATCAAGTAAAAAAAAAAAAACTTTCAACACACTTTATTGCATATTTTGGTGTCTGCTTTGACTTTGCTTTAAAAACAAATGTCAAAATATTTTTCCTTTACAGATTTGTTGTTATGTATTTACAGATTTGCAATAATCCCATTTTGTACAGTTTGTTTACTTTCTGATTCAGCTGCCTGTCGTTTAAACTGTTTGGTGGATGTAAATATAGTTTCCATGAGCTTTTAGCCAAGATTCTTAGCTTTTTATTATATCAAACACGTCCAGGTTCAACTTACAAATCTTAAATTAACAGAAGTTAAAAGATAAAGAAAACGTGAAATGCAGTTTTGCATTGGGCTCAATAGGTTAATCTCACTACTAAGTGTTCTGTGAACATGTGTAGATTGTGGCTTCACTTTAATGCCACAGATTTTATTTATTTTTTTTTCACCTTTTTGGGCTCTGGTGTTGCTTTGTTTAACTTCATAGGTTGTGTTGGCACGGGAGGAACCGGAGGTAATTTAGATGTTCTAGAAAAGTAAAGAAAAAAAGTAGTATTTTATATTTACAACATCAAAACAACTTAATGCATGTTCAGATAGTTTTACCTCTTGAACACATTTGTAGGCAGAGGTGGTCTTGGTTGAGGGAAACGACTGACAGATGAACCAGAAGCTTTGACAGCACTGCCCTCTAGTGGACATTGATGACGTCAAATTTTAAATCAGTTTGGTAGCATCCAGGAGTCACATAATAATAATAATAATAATAATAATAATAATAAATACATACTTGGTTGTGAAAATGTTCTCTGTGATGGACAAGAGCGTACAGTCTTCTTGGTTTTTTCGTTATTTAAATCAGAGTAATGAACTGTTGTGAGGAAAGAGAAACCGTGACAATCAATGCAAAAATAAACATCGTCGTTTATAAAATAGGCACTTGTGGAGTCAAACCCTTGTACTTTCACTAGGTGAGTTCAAAGGTCTTCGAAGAGGAGGCTTAATTTGTGCTCGGTGAGGATGTGCAGCGTTTGAGCTTTTTTCTACAGAAAACAAAGGATGACAATGTTTTACTAACATTTGTTCAACCTTCGAAGTACAGACAGTAAAAAGATACGCTTCAAGTTATTTGTTTTTATTTATCCTTTGCTGTCAGTTACCTCTGTGACAGTCTCGAACTGTCGAGGACAGAGTCGGCTTTAATGAGTTGTTTTCGTCGTCCTTCTCACCACATCCTCCTTCCTCAGCTGTTCGCAGCTCAAAGAAAGAACAGATGTAGTTTTCCTCTCCCGTCTTCTCTTCGGGGGACTCATAATCATGATCACTTCCACTGCTCTGAGCACAAAGAAGCAAGTACAACACAAATTATAACTTCAGTGCCCACCCCCACAGCTATACATGCCACAGGAAGTCGTATTGTCTAAATGGAATTACTCTGTTTGTTTAGGTTTGTAACGAATGTGGCCCAAGTCAAGCCAGACAAGAAATAGCATTTCACTCACAAACTCATCAAACTTCCCGTCTTCTTCATCCTGTTTAGATACTTGAGAAAAAATACATAAACGGTGAAAAGATCATTGCCTCTGGAGGTGATTGTTTGATTTCAGAGACGGGGAAAAGCTGAAGTGTTGGTTACCTTTTTTGGAAGTCTGTGTGTTTGATCTGCACACAGACAAAAAAAAAAAAGAAAAAAAAAAGCAGATGAGTGGTAAAAATTGTCCTGTGGTTAGYTTTTTCAGCTGGATCTCTAAATAAAATGTGTTCACTTACTTTGGACTAAAGCTCATCTTCTGCACGCCTTGTGTTGATTTCTCTTTGGATATTTGTCAGTAATCTGTCAGAANTCTGCTTTGACTTTGCTTTAAAAACAAATGTCAAAATATTTTTCCTTTACAGATTTGTTGTTATGTATTTACAGATTTGCAATAATCCCATTTTGTACAGTTTGTTTACTTTCTGATTCAGCTGCCTGTCGTTTAAACTGTTTGGTGGATGTAAATATAGTTTCCATGAGCTTTTAGCCAAGATTCTTAGCTTTTTATTATATCAAACACGTCCAGGTTCAACTTACAAATCTTAAATTAACAGAAGTTAAAAGATAAAGAAAACGTGAAATGCAGTTTTGCATTGGGCTCAATAGGTTAATCTCACTACTAAGTGTTCTGTGAACATGTGTAGATTGTGGCTTCACTTTAATGCCACAGATTTTATTTATTTTTTTTTCACCTTTTTGGGCTCTGGTGTTGCTTTGTTTAACTTCATAGGTTGTGTTGGCACGGGAGGAACCGGAGGTAATTTAGATGTTCTAGAAAAGTAAAGAAAAAAAGTAGTATTTTATATTTACAACATCAAAACAACTTAATGCATGTTCAGATAGTTTTACCTCTTGAACACATTTGTAGGCAGAGGTGGTCTTGGTTGAGGGAAACGACTGACAGATGAACCAGAAGCTTTGACAGCACTGCCCTCTAGTGGACATTGATGACGTCAAATTTTAAATCAGTTTGGTAGCATCCAGGAGTCACATAATAATAATAATAATAATAATAATAATAATAAATACATACTTGGTTGTGAAAATGTTCTCTGTGATGGACAAGAGCGTACAGTCTTCTTGGTTTTTTCGTTATTTAAATCAGAGTAATGAACTGTTGTGAGGAAAGAGAAACCGTGACAATCAATGCAAAAATAAACATCGTCGTTTATAAAATAGGCACTTGTGGAGTCAAACCCTTGTACTTTCACTAGGTGAGTTCAAAGGTCTTCGAAGAGGAGGCTTAATTTGTGCTCGGTGAGGATGTGCAGCGTTTGAGCTTTTTTCTACAGAAAACAAAGGATGACAATGTTTTACTAACATTTGTTCAACCTTCGAAGTACAGACAGTAAAAAGATACGCTTCAAGTTATTTGTTTTTATTTATCCTTTGCTGTCAGTTACCTCTGTGACAGTCTCGAACTGTCGAGGACAGAGTCGGCTTTAATGAGTTGTTTTCGTCGTCCTTCTCACCACATCCTCCTTCCTCAGCTGTTCGCAGCTCAAAGAAAGAACAGATGTAGTTTTCCTCTCCCGTCTTCTCTTCGGGGGACTCATAATCATGATCACTTCCACTGCTCTGAGCACAAAGAAGCAAGTACAACACAAATTATAACTTCAGTGCCCACCCCCACAGCTATACATGCCACAGGAAGTCGTATTGTCTAAATGGAATTACTCTGTTTGTTTAGGTTTGTAACGAATGTGGCCCAAGTCAAGCCAGACAAGAAATAGCATTTCACTCACAAACTCATCAAACTTCCCGTCTTCTTCATCCTGTTTAGATACTTGAGAAAAAATACATAAACGGTGAAAAGATCATTGCCTCTGGAGGTGATTGTTTGATTTCAGAGACGGGGAAAAGCTGAAGTGTTGGTTACCTTTTTTGGAAGTCTGTGTGTTTGATCTGCACACAGACAAAAAAAAAAAAGAAAAAAAAAGCAGATGAGTGGTAAAAATTGTCCTGTGGTTAGTTTTTTCAGCTGGATCTCTAAATAAAATGTGTTCACTTACTTTGGACTAAAGCTCATCTTCTGCACGCCTTGTGTTGATTTCTCTTTGGATATTTGTCAGTAATCTGTCAGAAACAAACAATCCATAAAATACAAACAAGATCCATCATATGTATATAGTACACAGACTACGTTGTCTTACTTTAGGTGTTATATTTTCTGCCAGACTCACGGGAGATAGAGGCTGGGGAACCCTTGAAGTTGAGACTGTGTCATTCGCTAAATGAAGCAAGTATTGTGAAAATTTGAAATACAATCTGATGAAGACTTGAAACAGAGTTGAGGTTAAGAGTTGACTTACCAGAAACTGTTCTCCAGTTATACTGCTCTACAACACCACTTTGTCACAGCTGGATAAASTGAGCTGCTGTAAACCAAGAGCAAAAAAAAAACAACTCTAATTTTAAGTTTTATTTTATACTTGTGACAGGTCTGAAAATTACACCAGTTTTGTTGTAACTTTGCTTGAAATGTTTCCCATCARTTATCTAAGACAAGAGGGTCAAAGTCACACAAGGGGGCCAAAATTAAAAAGCCCTTGCCCAGAAAAATCCTGGATTCGCCACTGATTTGCAAACAATCGGGAATGTCCCTTTATGTTGTGAGARTAACTGTTAACATGAGGAAAATGTTTGACTCAGCAGGAAGGCAACAAACTTTGTGTTAAGCTCTCTACGCCTTAGCGTGTTGAAACACGCTAAGGCGTAGAGAACACACAGTCAAACGAGAAAACAAAAGATTGAATTTTTTTTTTTAATTGAGTTCTCTTTAAAAAGAAGCTCAGCTCGGACGAATCGATGCACCTGTTAAAGTTGGGACYTTGCACAATCCTGGGGCGGGACTTTCAGACAAGTGTTTCCAACATTAACGACTACCTGCAAACCACAAAGAACTGAAGCGACATCGCAAACACGAGTGGGCTAAAATTCCACAACCATGTGAGAGGCCAGTAAAGTCATTTACAAATAATTAGCTCCAATTATTTCYGCTGAAGGTGTAATTCTGTGTATTTTTTTACACACATCTGCATCTCGGCTTTGTTTAGAATAAATAAAACAAAGGATCACTGGGATGTTTGTGCTGTGGTTTAACTAAGGTTGTATTTACTTAACTTTAAAACCTGGAAATGACCAGATGACTTGTTTATCATCATATAAAAGCTATAGAATAATGAAAATCAAGTGTACTTYTTATCTAGAAGAGCCTGATTTATAGTCTATGAGAAGGTTTTTCTTGTGTCTCTCTTATGGTGTGTGGTGAAAATTGCRTTGTTTGCTACTTTTACCAACTAATTCCCTGTTTCGTACACTGACCCATCAAGAACTACAGTAGTTCTCAGCAGCACTGACATCAAGATTTTATTGGTCAGAATTTTGTGGGTGTTTCTGACTGATTGCTGGCTGAGACTGTGTGAAAGTACAGCCAACATTACAACTGTTCCAGTAAAAGTCATAAAGTATGATAGAACTTGTGAAAGAAAACKGGGCATTTTTGGGCACCCTCCTGAAATGTACGTTGAAAACAACAGTGGTCTCCTTGTGACAAATTTGCAAAGCAGTGCTTCTCCTCGATTATAGAAATTGAAATGCCAGATCTCAAACTAACGACATCTTCTGGTCAGGTGGATGAGTAAAAACCAAAAACATAAATTATTTTAAAAATCGTTGCCTTAAAAATGCTGCAGCTGCTTGAAACAAAGTAGCTACTTTGTCAAGGTCATTTCCTAAACCTGAAAATTTCCAACTAGCTCACAGATACAGCCCGTACCATTACCTCATCATCCCTTTATTATCTCCTGTTGTCAAAAGGTGGAGGCAGACAAAAGGTTTTTGGGTGGGTGTCTGTTATTAAAATGGCTCATGAACCTCTAGAGCAGAGGTGTCAAATCTTGGTCCTCAAAACCCACTACCCTGCATATTTGACTTGTTTCTCCGCTCCAACACACCTGATTCAATGATTGAACAACCTATTCAAGTTTTGCAGAAGCCTGTTAATCACCTGATTTGAATCAGGTGTGTTGGAGCAGAGAGACCTCAACAACATACTGGATAGCRCTTGAGGAGCAGGATTGGACACCTCTGCACTAGAGAGATTTAAATAAAACTTTCAAAAAGTTACGTATGGATGAACATGTTCAACTGACTAAYATTTGAACCAAAATTCCAAGATGGCCACCACAGCCAGCCTGCTTCAGAAAACACAGAAATGGCTATAATTCAGTTAGTTTTGCTGTGATTGAGATGTTATGCCAACAGTTGGTTTGATGTAACTTAAATGTCATTWACAGCAAGTGCTACTCATTGCACAAGGTATGTTTTTAAAAGCTTAAAAAACATGTTGTCTGTTAGCAAAATATTATATTAGCCATTGACAGATGATGAAACTTTCATAAAGAAATCATTGGTTTAACCTCAGTTGATCATAATTAGGCATCAGTCTCATTCAAATGGTTTTCTTAGCTAATCAACATGAGCCAAAACAAAAAAAYTGAGTAAAACCTGGTCCAATTTAGTGAACATCCTCAAATTTGATTTGATATTAACAAATTCTGATAGCATGCAAGATCAATGTTGTTTTAAGATTTGATTCAAATGGATAAAACTCTTTTCTCAACAATAAATGAACTCCGTCCAAAACTCTGCATGGAAGTTGGTGGCCAATGTATAATCTTTAGAGACATTGGGCCTCATGCAAGAACCGTTCGTACGCACAGATTTGTTCTTAAGTTGTGCGTACGAGTGATTTAGGAGAATTTGTGGCATTCACCAATGTTTTCATATTCTAAGATTTTTTTCAGATACCTATGAACAAAATTCACGTGTGGTCTAGACCTGTCGTATATTTTACCAGCAGTCAGTCTGCTGTTATCCAGACAGGTTTTCTT